ATGTCTAGAGGTTCGGGGTCTAGGTGCCCCAGCAATTGGTGCCCTTTCTCGTTTCTTTATTGGTTGGGACGGTTTCCGCTAAAGTAGACTACAGAAGAATCTCTAATGGAGGGCCTAGGGGTGATCTGTTTTATTGCGAGGCACACGAGCACACGAGGCCAAACCAGCCAGCAGCCAGCTGTTTCTGCGGAACTCACCTGGATCAAGACCCAAGAAAAGTACCCAGCTGCCGTGTGAAGAGACTTGGATGGTCCCAAAATTCCAACAGGGGCGTTGGGAGAGCCGGGAGACGGGGAGACGCCCAAAACGGACGCCGACGGGCTCGTCGGCTCGCCGGAGTTGGGCGACGGGTCTCTCGGTGCGCTCCTCAGGGTTCGATTTTTGGTTTCTTGGACGGAGCCTGAGGGTGTGCAAAAGGCACCGGCAGAATGGGATCCTCAAGTGGGCCGGCGGAAGGGTTCAAAGGAACGAATCAAATGATCAACGATGGAGGGGGAAATCCAATGACCCTGAGATTTGATTTGATTGTTGGACATGTGTACTTTCCCACTACCCCCCCCCCAAAAAAAAAGAAAAGAACAGAAAGGTGTCTTTTTTTGAGCAAGGGCAAAAGCTGCCAAGGAAGGGGACAATGAGCTGACGGTGCAATCGGGGTTGGTTGTAGCCCAAAGTTTTAATCCTCAGCACCTCAAGTGAAAAAACCAACCAAGTCCCATTAAGTGCCAATTTGTGCACCCCAGGTCTGTTGGTGGGTGGGGGGTTGCCTAAAGGATGCCACAAGGATGCCACATTTTTCCAGACCCCCTGCAAATTTGTGCACCCCAGGTCTGTTGGTGGGTGGGGGGTTGCCTAAAGGATGCCACATTTTTCCAGACCCCCTGCAAATTTGTGCACCCCAGGTGTTGGTGGGTGGGGGGTTGCCTAAAGGATGCCACATTGTTCCAGACCCCCTGCAAATTTGTGCACCCCAGGTCTGTTGGTGGGTGGGGGGTTGCCTAAAGGATGCCACATTTTTCCAGACCCCCTGCAAATTTGTGCACCCCAGGTGTTGGTGGGTGGGGGGTTGCCTAAAGGATGCCACATTGTTCCAGACCCCCTGCAAATTTGTGCACCCCAGGTCTGTTGGTGGGTGGGGGGTTGCCTAAAGGATGCAAATTTGTGCACCCCAGGTCTGTTGGTGGGTGGGGGGTTGCCTAAAAGACGCCACATTTTTCCAGACCCCCTCTTGTGCACCCCCCAGGTCTGTTGGTGGGTGGGGGGTTGCCTAAAGGATGCCACATTGTGCACCCCAGGTCTGTTGGTGGGTGGGGGTTGCCTAAAGGATGCCACATGTTTCCAGACCCCCTGCAAATTTGTGCACCCCAGGTCTGTTGGTGGGTGCGGGGTTGCCTAAAGGATGCCACAAATTTCCAGACCCCCTGCAAATTTGTGCACCCCAGGTCTGTTGGTGGGTGGGGGGTTGCCTAAAGGATGCCACAAATTTCCAGACCCCCTGCAAATTTGTGCACCCCAGGTCTGTTGGTGGGTGGGGGGTTGCATAAAGGATGCCACATTTTTCAGACCCCTGCAAATTTGTGCACCCCAGGTCTGTTGGTGGGTGGGGGGTTGCCTAAAGGATGCCACATGTTTCCAGACCCCCTGTAAATTTGTGCACCCCAGGTCTGTTGGTGGGTGGGGGGTTGCCTAAAGGATGCCAGTTTTTCCAGACCCCCTGCAAATTTGTGCACCCCAGGTGTTGGTGGGTGGGGGGTTGCCTAAAGGATGCCACATTGTTCCAGACCCCCTGCAAATTTGTGCACCCCAGGTCTGTTGGTGGGTGGGGGGTTGCCTAAAGGATGCCAGTTTTTCCAGACCCCCTGCAAATTTGTGCACCAGGTCTGTTGGTGGGTGGGGGGTTGCCTAAAGGATGCCACATTTTTTCAGCCCCCCCGCCCCGCCATTCAGAGCCCAGGTTCGGTGTCAACTTCGGATTTATCCAGGCCGTTTTCTACTCAGGGAGGTCCCTGGCAATGAGTCCATTTGAGGGGGATGTCACAAATGATACAGCGCTCCTGAAAGAGTCGCACTGAACAGTACCATTCCCTGAGTTCAGGCGGGAAATCGTATTTCTGGAATCCAAATACCAGTCGCATCGAGGCGGCAGAAAGATTGGCTGTGAGGCTCACAGAAGCAGGAGTCTCAGATCGATCGCTCTACACCCAAAGGTGAGCTTGGAAAAATCGAAAAATCCCCAGAGGTCCTCAAAGGCGCCAGCGGGTCCCGAATACTTTGCTTTTTCTTTGTGGCTTCCCCTTGACTCCGGCTGAGAAGCCGTAGCTCAGAGAATTCTGCACCAGACACCCAGATAAAGTGGGGTTTCTCTTTTCCCACATGGCTATGACATTTGTCTTGAAAGCGCAAAAAACATTTGGGGGAACGAGGAACCAAAGGCTGGCCAGAGAAGCCACTACGTCTTGCGGTTTACCTGGACCCTCAAAATTCCCTTAAAAGATGGGTAATGGACCCTCAAAATTCCCTTAAAAGATGGCTAGTAGCCCCAAAATAACAGGGTGAAAACCCTTTGGACCCTCCAACAATTCCCTTAAAAGATGGGTAATCCCGAAAATAATAGGTTGAACACCCATTGGAAAAGATGGGGTTCTAGCCCCATACTGGGGCGAGATCCCTTTGCTTGTGGCTTTGAGGGTGGGGTTTCATGGCGTTGGGGTGACGCGCCTAGGCTGGCGAGGCTGGTGCTGCCGAGCTCGGGGCCCGAAGAATTCACCGCGAGACTTGTGGTTTGTGTGGTTGCGTGTTTGTGTGTTTCCTTCTTTTTTTTTCTTCTGGGGGGCGGGGGGGGGTCACTTTTTTTTTTTAACAGATCTTTTTCGAGGGGGGGGTGTCTTTTTTGGGGGTCCCTCCAAAAATTGGATTTCGGTGTTCCTCGTGATTTCCATGCAAAATCACGAATGAAAAGGACACCAACTCTCAAAAAGACACAGACAAACGTTTGGCTCCCATGATCAAGACTTTTGTTCAACAGTACCCGTATCCTGTTCCAATGATTTATCTAATCTTCACCCCGGATCCAAGTAGAACCCGTCCTATAAAGGGGGGGAGTCCCTCCAAAGGTGATGAACTCTCACTAAAAAGGGACACCCCTTCTTTATCAACTAGGTCGAGGGTTCCCTTACTAAAATAGACTACAGAAAAAAGTTGATACCTTCATTCTAGCCTCTCTACTGGAGGACCTAGTCAACCGTCGGTTTACTCCTCCGGGGTCCCGCGTTTTTTTTTTCCCCCAGAAGAAGCCCCAGCATCCCCAGCGATTCATTCATTCGCCCGCTTCAGCCAATGCGTCGATCCCTTGGTTTTGCCACACCTGCGGCTTGACAAGAAAAAGCACAGCGTCCGTCTTTTGCCAGAGGTGTTGGACGTAAATTGGATTGGCTCCCCCCACAAATCGAAGGGCACCTCATGTGGGTGACGCAACCGGCAATGAAGAACCTGGTTCCTCTTTGGCGAACAGCTCACTTTATGCAGAGGCTCACTTAGACCAAGACAGAAAACAAAGAAACTGTTGTACTCAAAAACACAAACAAAAACTGGCAACAACACGTGCTTCACTGTTTGCAGTGAGTTCTAGATCGACTAACTTAACAAAATGCAAGGCACATGTCTCCAGCATGTTCCAACCAACCAGCGTGAACCGGTGTTTTTTCTCACGTTGGCCCATGGACATTCGCTTGTGAGTCAGTTGTTTGAGGGCCCTGTGTCCGCGGTCGGAAGCCCCCTTCACAAGGCTGCGGCCTGGGGGGGGAGGGGAGGGGGGAACTCGACAAAAAAGAAGTATCGCCCGCACTGCGCCTGGGAAAACGAGTGAGTCGCGGCCCAATAGACCGGAGAAGTCAGAAAACTGTCTATTCGACAACCTTGCGGTTTTGGTCTGTGTTATATTTGTCTACGGGTAATCGTTTTGACTATCTGATGGAACCTGTTTTGTCTATTCAGTTATTTGTCTCTGTATTTTTGGGACGGACATCGACCAATAATAGGCTAATTTTTAAATAAATTCTGACTACTAGGCTGAATGTTCGGTCTAACTCATGTTTCTTCTCAAACCTGAAAACCCGAAGTGTCCTCGAAACTGCTCGCAAACTGCTGGCGGCTCAGCTCAAAAAGAGCCGCAGTGTTGGACCTCGTGTTGTGTCAAGTCTGGAGTGGTTCGAGACTTGGGGAATCCGCGCCGCTGACAGCGCCACTGGAATTACAGCCTGCATCGCGTGCCCAGAGGCACCCGAGAAGCACACCCGTTCAAGCACGCCCGCGCATGCCAGAACCTCTTGGTGGCTCCCAGCCATCCCCTTACTCTTTTAGCGTTGTAGTGCTAAGTGGTAGTTTCCATTTAACCCACTAAAAGTTAAACTTCTAGCGGGGGATTTGAAGGCAGCCCAGACCTGATAAGCACAAACATGCATCCCCTTCAGCTGCTCTCGTGTGACTCGTGTGCTGCTGAGGCGCGTTGCAGCTTTTGCCCCCTAATAGAACCGCGCAGTCTCGACCATATAATGTCTGAAAGGACTTGACCGTAAAAGGGAAGCTTGCAAACCAAGTGACGAAGCCAAAAGAGGCCAAGGACAAACCGTGGAAATGACTCAAAAAGGCGTGGAAAGACCGTAGAGCCATATGAGTAAGGTAAAGGCTATAAGTGGAGGCGACAAAGAGGAATGATGCTAGAGTGCGTCCGATGGGTAAAACTGCAAAGCAAACTGCATCTCAACCGCGCGAATACAACGCACAGGGAAGGCGGAACAAACACTGCGTTGCTGAAAGAGTGCATGCCCAAAAAGTGCAACTGAATTGCCACTTGGTGCTTTTCCGGCAGGGAAACTATGTGCATTGTTTGAGCCATTGGAACCCAGTCCATCCTTGAACAAAGGCTTCCGCTGCTAAGTGTCCTTTCAGCTTGGGTTCGCTGGCTGGTGCAGAATCTTTGCCACATACATAATTTATTCGTCCTGATGCAGAGTGGCTTTGGCGACGAGGGTGGCCAAGGTGCGGGAGCATTCCCTGGCGCGTTGAACTTCTGCACAGCAAGTTGGGGTGGAACCCTGGAGGGAGCGGTGACAGCGGTGGCTACGTATGTCTTCTCTCCACTTGCGCCGGCACTTCCTATCCCCTTCTTCGCAGCCTCGGCCTCAAGCAGTCCCAGTTTTCTTGACAGGCGTTTCCGCGCGCCCTTTGGAGATGCCGCAAGCGGCTGCGAAGGTCCTTGCCTGGAGCCAGATCGATCTCAACGAGATGTTGCCAGAGGCGCGGTTTCGGCTGCAGGAAAGGCCACCGTTTGATAAAGATCTGGGGCCAGCTCGGGAATGAGCCACCAGGTTCTCAGAACCAAGCCGCAGTTGGAGACGCTCCAGAAGCTTCGATGCATGGCTGCGAGACTCCCTATGAGCTGGGGCTTTGTTGTCACGCCAGGCCCCCCCTCCAAGCCTCTCCCATTGCAACCAGCCAGCATGGTGAGCGCGGGTCAAGCTTCTGTTTGGCTGTGCCCAAGCTTCACGGCAAGTTGCAGCTTGAGATTACTCCTGTGGATGGCGCATACAGTGCTTCGACCTTTTGCGTTTGATGCTTTGTCTTGCAGCATTGGCAGCACCGCAGCTTCCGAGCCAGCCCTTGCACTTTTGCGACCGGTGCGCGTTGACATTGAATGTACTAATGCAGCTTTTGTCGAGCAATTGCTTCAGTGGCTGCCTTCGCATCAAGGGCGTTTTCGACTCCTCAGATGTTCCTGGGCAAAGGATCGTTTCAAGCTTGCATTAGGAGTGCCAGATTACATCACAAGCCTGAGCTAGGTGCACACATTGCATAGTGTCAGCGTGGATCCCACAAGCTCGGCTGCCGGTTGCCAAAGCCCCTGGCACACCCCATGACTGTGGCGGGTCTCTCCGGGAGTCGGTGTGCAAGGCACTCCAATCCCCTTCTCTGCCCTTCATGGCTAGCCTTGAAAAACAATGATCGCCAGCCTCTCGAGCGGCGGAGATGCCGCCTGCGGGCGCGAAGGTCCTTGCAGCTTTGACTGGATATGTTCGGCTGCCTCCTCGGCTGGACAGTAAACTGATTTGAGCGCCGCAGAGAGCGAGCAAGGGAGGGGGTGGGAGGGCGGGTGAGGGAGGGAGTGAATCGATAGGTGAGTTTGTTTATCTTGTCTTCGGATGCTGCAGTGCCGCAGGCTTGCTTCTAAAGCTGCCTTGTGTGGCACGCTTGGATGGAGGTTCCAGTCCAAACCGCAATCCCGGCCCAAGGATTCAGGAGGATTTTCAAGGGGAGACGCCCTGCAAAATCAAATTTCACGGCGCAGACTTTCGGAGGGCTTCGCTTCCGACATGTGAGGCGTTTCGGGAGCTGGCGTCTGGATTTCCAGCTGGGATTCCCGAATCTTGAGCCCAGATCAATCAAGCCCAGGTGATTCAGTGGTCCCCTCCGACTTTGAAGTGGTCTGAATCCTCAAGCCCGAGAATACCCAAAAGCCGTCAAGCTGGGTTGATTGAAGCAAAGGGGTCAACAAAACCCCAATCAAAGCAGCAACTTTGGCAGGAGTTGTTCCCCCTGCCAGATCCGCTCGCGCAGGTCCGGAAGGACTCGAGTTTGTAAGGGCCCCCGGTCCCCTTTCTGACCACGATACGCCTGGTTGAAAGGACGGTCCTCGTTGGGCCAGCGCCATCGATGTCAAAGGTCCGCAAGGTGATCTGTTTTTATGGCCCTCCGGGGAGGTGAAGTGAACATAGGCCAGTTTTCAAATTCTGATGCGAATTTCCCGGGGGGGGGGGGGGGGGGGGGGAAACAAAAAACACCAGGTCTTGATGGTGACGCAGCTCTGCGCTGATTTGTTTTTTTGGCTCAAGCCCATACCATTCGGATGCTATGACTGGGAGAGGTAGAAGTCCCATAGTGAAATGAAGGATTTTCTTGACTTAGGCAGCTAAGCACGCGCCTATTGGTTCAACACATCCTTGCGCGTGGGCTGCAATGCGGTTGTGTCGTAATCGAATCACCCGAGTCTGGTGACGCTCCCTCGCTTCCTCAGTTCCTGGACTTGAAGTCATGTGAAGTCATTTTGGGAAGAGTTGGTGGCAAAAACAAACAGCTCCAAGGGTTTGGCCCGCCCAACAGCTCGAAGGGAGCGACAAGTTGCCCAGGGCGAACGTTTTGGCCAACCCACTCAAGGGAGCGAGTTGCCCAGGAAAACGAATCCTGACACAACTCAGCAATTGTGGTTTCGAGGCTCGTGCAGTCATTCGTGCAGTGGACTAGCATCGGCTTCAGGGGTTAGCTTCACATCAGCTTGCAAGAGGTCACTTGGAATTGGACATGTTCAGGCCTGAAAAGGCTTAGCAAAGAGGCTGTCAAGGCTCGCAGGAGGTTGCTTTGCAAGGGATATGTCAGGGCTTGCAGGAGAGTGCGTTGAAGGTCAGAAGGAGCATGATGTTGTCTTGACTTGAGCAAAGCACGGAGCCGTTGGACCCAACCAGCTTAGCTGTGCCGAGAGCGCTGCCTCTGTAGTTGGCAAGCGCAGGGCTCGCACATTCTGAGCTGGACGCCTTGCCTTGAAGCACTAGCAGGGCAGCAACTTCCCGGCCACTATGCTTTCAAGGCTGGCGCGCAGTTTGCTAAGGTAGCTCGCAAGACGTTGCTTGGAATGGGATGTCCTCAATCCGCTGACTTGCTTCTGCCTACAATGCTGAGGTCCTGCCCCCACCGAAAAAGGTGATTTGCGGGCAAGCGCGCGTTCAACTATTTGCAACTCGAAAATTCAGGGTGACGCGAAAGGCGGCGTGCGAGATGGGGCACGCAACGATCAATAGCGCATGCCTTGCCCCTCGCCTTCTGACCGCCCCTGTCCCGCAAAAGACAGCGGGCTAAAGCAGCACAGCCCGACACGCAGCAGTTTGTTGCTTCTGTGTGACTATGACAAGCGTGATTAAGCAGCACAAGCTGGCGCAAGGTGTGCTTCTGATTCAAGGAGCGATCGCTTGCGATTTTTGCGCTCGGGTCCCAGTGTGTGCGGTACTTCACTTACTACTTTCTGTTTTGGAGAGGGAGTGCTGCCGTTGTATTTTTCGAGTAGAGGAATGGGCGTCTCTGTAGAAGAAAGGGTACTATCTTCCTCAAATAGGAGTACTGGCTGGGAGTGCACTTAGCACGGCGTATTGTTCAGGCTTGTAGGAGGAGTGACAAGTTGCCAAGGGGCCCGAATCCTAAGAAGACTCAGCAGTTGTGCCTTCCAGGCTGGCACGCGTTGGGATTCAAGTCAAGGATGCAGTCTTGGTCTAGCAATTGCTCCAGTGAATGGCTGACATCAAAAGTAGCTCGCAACAGGTTACTTGGAATCGGATATGTTCATGCTTGATGGATGCTCGGTGATTTCCCACGATCGCCCGGAAAAAGATGGCCACAGGACAACAAGCTGCCAGGGGGGCCAACTCCTGAAAAGACTTAGCGATTGTGCCTTAAAGGCTGGCATGCACTATGCTTCAAGTGAAGGAGGCAGTCTTGGTCTGGAGTTTGTTTCTGTGGCAGGGTGTGCTCGCAGGCTACTTTGGGTGGGATGTGCTCAGGCTTGAAGGAGGAGTGTTAGATGTCATAAGGAGCGTGATGTTGCCTTAACTTGAGCAAAGCACAAGACCGTTGGACTTCGCTGCGCCCACGCCGCTAGACGCCGGAGCCGCCTGCGCTCAGACCTGAGTTGGACAAAAGCACAGCGCCCACTTCCCAGCAATGATGCTTTTAGGGCTGGCACGCGTCTGGAGTTGCGCAGGCATGCAGTGTTGGTCAAGCAGTTGCTTCAGACTGCACTATGGTAGCTCGCAAAAGGTTGCTTTGAATGGGATGTGTTCAACCCCCTTACTTGATTCTGCTTAAAAGTGCCGAACAACTGCGGCCCTGGCCCTGCCAAAACTTGTGATTCGCGGAAAAGCGCGCGTTCAAGCAATTGTACCTCGCAAATCAAGACAGCGTGGCGCAAAAGGCGTGCGAGATGGGGCACGCAAAGAATTGTAGTTGCGCATGCCCTGCCCCTCGCCCTTTGGCCTCCCTTGTGCCGCCAAAGAACAGCGGGCTGAAGCAGCACAAGCTGCAACGCAGCCGTTCATATCGCTTCGGATGCATTAGTGTTGCCTAAGACAACTGGGATTAAGGAGCACAAGGTGGCGAAAGGCGTGCTTCTGATTGAAGCAGTGGTTGTTTGCGAATTTTGCGCTCGGGGCTCAGTATGTGCAGTACTTCACTTGCTATTTTTGGGTTTGCCGAGGGAGGGCTGCCGTCGTATCTTTCGAGTAGAAGTAGGCGTCTCTCCGTAGAATCCAAGGCGCCGTCTCCCTCAAATGAGGGTCACGTTGCCTTAACTTGAGCAAAGAACAACCAGCTTGGCTGTGCCCAGACCGCCGCGGCAAGCTCTTCGGACAGCTGCTACTGCAGCTTGACGCAGGACTGCTGGCCTGCGCATGCGCTCAGACCTATTGAGTTGGACAGCTTGCCTTGCAGCGTTTGTACAGCGGCAACTTCCCAGCAATTATGCTTGCAGGGCTGGCACGCGTCTGGATTTGCTTCAGGGATGCAGTGTTGGTCTAGCATTTGCTTCTGTGGCCGGCTTTGTTGGCAAGAGGCTGGCCCTCGTTTGGAGTTGCTCCAGGGATGCAGTGTTGGTCGAGCACGCGTCGTTATGTTGCCTTGACTTGAGCAAAGCACGGAGTCGTTGAACCCAACCAGCTTGGCTGTGCCCATGACGCTGAGGCAAGCTGCAGCTTCAGACTGCTACTGTGGTTGGCAGGCTCAGCGCTCACACCTTTTGAGGTGGACGCCTTGCCTTGCCGCAACGGCAGTTCGAGGACGCAGTCTTGGTTTGGGATTTGCTTCAGTGGCTGGCTTCACGTCTAGGTAGCTCGCAAAAGGTTGCCTGGAATGGAATGTGTTCAATCCCCTTACTTGCTTCTGCCTAAAATGCTGAGCAAGAAGCGTGTTCAACTACTTGCAATTTGCAAGTGAGGACAGCGTGGCGCAAAAGGCGTGCGAGATGGGGCACGCAAAGAATTGTAGTTGCGCACGCCGTGCCCCTCGGTTTTTGGTTTCCCTTGTGCCGCCAAAGACCAGCGGACTAAAGCAGCACAAGCTGCAACGCAGCAGCTCTACATCGCTTCGGATGCATTAGTGTTGCCTAAGACAAGTGGAATCAAGGAGCACAAGGTGGCGAAAGGCGTGCTTCTGATTGAAGCAGTGGTTGTTCGCGAATTTTGCGCGCGGGACTCAGTGTGTGCGGTACTTCACTTACTATTGTTTGGTTTGCCGAGCA